CTGAGAGAAAATTTACCTAGTATATATAAAATAAATATTGACATGATCCCAAATTATGACGGTACTTCTCAAAATTTGAGTATATAATATTTCATAATTATTATTTTTTTAAGTTTGTTACCGTTAAAAAGAAATTTTGTACACATAATAATTTCACGCTTTATGCAGATTTATTAAGGTTACAAATACAACTCAAAGATTAATGTAAACTGTAACAAATATATATAACTCATAATCAAATAAAAATTGAAGACAATATTTAATTCTACATTTCTTCTTATAACTTTTTATTGTATGTAGTTTGAGAGAGAAATTATGTGATAATATACTAAATACCTTTAAAATATTATATCATATATATAAAAAATATATACAATATTATATATTATTCTTGAAAAATGTTTGAAGCCACTTTTCTAAACTACAAAAAATATGTCAAAAAATACTTAAGTTTAACCTCATACATGTGTGTATATATATAGAGCTCCTTAGTCTTTGTCTAATGTTTAAAATATCTAAAATATTATAAGGGTTAATAATTGTTAAAAAAATATTAGTATTTAGATGAGTGAAAATTATTTTTTTAAAATAATTAACTTGTTTTAAGAAAAAAAAAATTCTGTTACAATTATTTTTTAGAAAAAAATATGTTAGAATAAATAGATAAGAGATGAGATTTTTTAAATTTATAGGGATCTATATAATAGGATTTTTCCATATGAAATTAAGTGTGAACAGAAGGGTGAACAAATTAAAGATGGGATAAGATTTTTTCTATAATAAATCGGTCAATTTATTTCCCTATTCATAAATGTCCAACAATATCTATTTTTTAGGAAAGAGAACGGGTTGTTAAGAAATTGTTAAGAAATTGTAATTCATCAAAATTGATTTTTTAATAACGTATAAAAAACAGATCCCTATTCATAAATGTCCAACAATATCTATTTTTTAGGAAAGAGAACGGATTGTTAAGAAATTGTTAAGAAATTGTAATTCATCAAAATTGATTTTTTAATAACGTATAAAAAACAGATGAATGGATTGTTAAGAAATTGTAATTCATCAAAATTGATTTTTTGATGTGGTTTTTATTAAGAATTTCGATCTCCAAAATTGTTAAGAGGCAATATTATTTTACCTTGTTTAAATTAGATTTGATGAGTATTTTTTAGTTACGTGACTTAATTTGGATATGTATGGAATTTCTTTTGAAAAATTCAAATTAAGTGGAATTGTTATAAATAAGTATGGACTATTGTATTTAAATAAAGAAAAAAAAAAGTCGAAGTCTGATTTGTTTTAAATAAATGTTCGAATTAAAAATGTAAAAAATGTCTTAATATTCTATAAATGAATATAATTTATACGTCGGTTTGATATTGAGATAAATAAATCCCAAACAAATCCCATCCAATGATTAAAGAAATGATATCTATCTATAATCTATCTATAAAGAAAAACTGTCCAATAAATCAGCTATTTCAAAACTGCCGTTCATTCTTATAATAAATCAGCTATTTTGGGGCAGTTTTGATTAGCAAAAAATAAGGAAATAAAAAACAGATTTTGGAGAGGTTTAATGAACGTAGATAAAACAGATTTTTGAAAAATAATAAAACAACACGCATTTATTGTTTTGGCGCTAGTTTTTTGGCGGCAACTTAAAAAAGGTTATTCTTTTAATATAACTAGTACAGATCCCGTGCGATGCACGGGGTGCACAAAATTAAGGTCATTTATCAAGTCTTATAATCATATAAATGAATAAAGAAAAATGTACGGGATATATATAGTACGTGACCTGTAATATGCCAAAATGTGAACACGGGTGATGCACGGGGTGCACAATTTTAAGGTCATTTATTAGTAAAGATTCCGTGTGATGCACGGGGTGCACAATTTTCTAGTATGTGTAATACAAATACATACCGTATGCACGGGACAGAAGCAATAAATGAGTTATTTCCACAGAGCTTTCCCGTTAAGTAGCTCATGAATACGAGTGCACAATTTGTAGTACGTGGAGATGAAGGATGTGATTTTTTTGACTCGTGGAGATGGAATTTTATAAGATGGGTTATGAAATTTTTTTAAACTCGTCCATATCTATGCGATGAGTTTTTTAAGCTGGTTATATAGATTTAAAATTGTAAAAGAAAAAACTTTCATAAATCATTTGATTTGGTATTTTCGGCGAGCTTCATTAATTTAAAAGTGTAAAATAAATAAATAAAAAAAGTACAATTAAAAAAGTTACGGCCAGTTGTATGGAGAATTAAACTAAATCCAATTTTGTAGGATGCATTAAAAATTGATTAGATCTTATATGTAAAATAAAATAAAAAATAACTGAAATAGTTTTACGTGTTGCAATATTTCATATTTCAAAAAAATTAAAAAATCTTCTTTTACGTATTACATACCAACATTTTATGAACTACATTGATATTCCTAAATTAATATTGCATACCAATATTTTAGGAACTAATTAAATTCTAATTTGATTTGCATACCAAAAATATTAGATGCATTAATTAAATGCTTGATAAAAATAGCAAATCATTAATTATTGTTGACTATTCTACCTACTTAAATTAGTAAATAGGTTTGCTTATAATATAAGTATAGATTATAAATTTTTTTATTATCCATTAGTTCATTAGTTGTATTCATCCTGTGGGAACAGAGCACACGGAAAGCATTACACTTCTACATTTTTCTATACCCAATGCAAATGGCATTATTTAATTTAAAACAATGACGCAAAAATATATAATAATTTATAGTACTACTATATGTCCTGCCCATCCAGATACACTCCGTCCATTGTGCCGGCGAGTAGTAAATTAATAAATATCACTTGACAAAGCAAATTAATATTCATGTCAATTATTTAGAGTTGCTCTCAGCAGCGAGTGCCCTCATTGTTAATAATGATCTACATTTGAAGGTATTGACTTTGATACCAGTACATGCAAATTCAAATGAGTTGCAAATTAAAATGAAACGTATAATTATCATAGAGTGCACTATTTATCGTACGTACTATATTAAGAACAGAAGAATGCGGAAACAATAAACCGAAGGTTTAAAAACTCTTCAGGGAAGCATCTCACTTCCCCTCAGAGCTCTTTCATTGATAGATCAAACATGAACATAGTTTGGACTTACAAAGACTCGAACTCCCTTCAAGCCTAGCCAACACTACTCACGATTCTATCAACTATTTCTCCGGCCACGTCCCGTGAACTTTTTATCCTACACTTACTCCCTAAGTGTAAAAGTAAAAGATAGTTTGATGAAAGCAAAGAAACTAAAAACAAAAGACAGCTTCAGTCCTTGAGTTTGTAAGAACTCTCGTACTGAACTGCGTACAACTGAATAGAACAAAAAATGTGAAGCTCGAGTATTGCTCTAAAAATCTCTCTAATTTTCAGCAGCAGCAATAAGAGCTTCCTCTAGGGTATTTATATGAACTCCTTAGGGTTGGAGTCTTCTACAAGGCATAGGGCTCCAAGCTTGATTTCCTTCCATAATTGTAGCTTA